ACCAGATCAAAGACCTAACTTTAACATTATGTAACACCATGTAAACATTGATGGATTATCCCCAAGACTATGTGTTAATGAAGCCTGTGAAAAGCTCGAGACAGTGAATATAACCAACCTAAAATACAATAAAATATAGTCCAATATAGGATATCCACAACTGATGATGAAGAACTAATGTGATTCAACACTCAACTGAAAGATTCTCAGGCAACATATCCGAGTTTCAAAACAATTATTCAGTGTATCAAGAATAGTGCAGAAAACTTATTGTGGCAAAGAGATGTCCCATGCAATCTGAAGACAAAGATGTACTGGGCACAACAGGATTCATTATTTTTAAAATTCCTTGGCACTTGTGTAATGTTAAAAAACAATTATTTTAAAAACTATTCTAAAAATTGTTTTCATTTGTTTTGTTTTTTACTTTTTACCCTGAATATATAATGTTATTTGTATTTTATTGTAATTTTGAGATTGGAAACAGTCTGATTTTCAGAATTGTATATAAAATAATTGTTGTTTTTAAAAAAGTGTGTTTTTTAACAGGATTCATTATGTCCACAAGGAAAGATACCAGTGGTAAGAAACAAAAACTATGGTTGGTACTTTCATAGGATCAATATTCTAAAGCAATCCATCATCTTCACAATGCTTCTATTGGTTTGGGTGCTGGGGATCTATAGACAATTGGTGTAAACCATGTGAACTATGCTGTGAGCCAAAAGGTCCCATATGAAACAGCACTGATGGCTACAGCAGTATTGTGTTAGAGCACCAACTGAGAGAGTTGCTGTTGATGTGCTTGGTTCACTGCCACATAATTACAGTGGGAATAAATAAATTATGGCCGCAATGAACTATTTTATGAAATAGCCACAAACATATTCCATTCCACTCCAAGAAGCAAAAACTCTAGCAAGGAAACACGTCAATAAATTTGTTTCAAAATTTGGAGTTCCTTTGGAACTTCACTCAGATCAGGGATGGAACTTTGAATCAGCCATGTTTATGTGCGTCAGATCCTTGGAATTAAATAAGATCACAACAGCTGTTCACCTGTTTTTCAATGCAATCATACACTTTTAATTGAATTAACAATTTATATGGATGAACATCAGAAAACTAGGGATTAAGATTTTCCATTACTATTTACGAGTTATTGAATGGAAGTATATGGAAGGGACTGTTGGACATCCTGTACTCATATGTGGAGGATAGTCACTAAGCAGAGTCTTATCCAGAATATGCAGAGAGACTAAGGAAAACAACTAATGTTGTACAGAAAAGAATCAATGATGTGATTTATGGAATCCAGAATAATAGGCAGTTTAAGCCAAAAGCTATTCATCATGATCATCTTTGAAACTCCGATGGTGAACTTTCACAATCCATGGATGAGGCAGTGTTGTAAGCTGTATTTTAATTCAGATGTTTATTTGCTAGAGGGTACTTGATAAAATTCTAGATAGATCATAAAAGTTAAGGCCCCTGTAGTATCTATAAATTTTGCAGTGTGCAGGAATAAGGGTACAATATATAAATATCAAAATCGGTGAATTAATCAACGAGTGAGCGATTCAGTTCATAATTAGTAGAGAGAGTTGTCAAATCTGTTTAGTTACTTAGCAAGTTAGCGTGTTTGGTATTGAGCAATTCTACAAGTTAATTTGTGAGTTATGTCTAGAAGGAGTGCAGCCTGTACTGTAGTAAACACTTTTAAAGGAATAAATTAATTTATCATTACCTGGATTGAACTTTGCATTATTTTAACAGGTAATCTGAAAGAATCCCCAGAATGATAGAACACATTACAATAACCAATAAAATTACATTATAATTAAAATGAAACTTTTTGCTCAACTCATGTGATGTAATAAGATATAAAGCTCATAAGTTGACAGTCGGCTCTGACGATGTTTTTGTAATCTGCTAGGTAATTATTTGCACTTTTCCTTAAGCCTTGAGAAGATACTGATTGGCCTGTGAAAAACGTTTAACTACAATACACTCATTGAATGGTTTGTGAATAAGCATTACTGTTGGATATGCTAGTGTTTAGTGTAAGAGTAATTATTTAGTTCATTTAGTGATAAAATATTTAATAATTATTTAGTTTCATAATAAGAGTGTTAAAAGTTAATTATTTTAAAAGCAGTAGTTATGACAAATTTCATTACGTAACTCGATAAGTTGTACATTGTGTGTGTGTAATTAAATTATTGTAAATTTACGTCACATTACTTGAACCTTCTGTATTTTTATCGATGCCCTAAGTGAGTATTGCTATACCATAGCATCTCATAGTTTGTAGAAAGTTCTAGGCCTCAGTTGGGTAATATATATACAGGTGACCAAGTGAGTGGAAGTGAAGTTAGACTGAGTGATTGTTAGTTTAGCCTTAAAGGCGATATTTAAAGTGAGTTTCACAGTTTGTATTGTAATAACAACGATAAAAGAGAATAATTTGTCTTGTCAAAAGGCGTTCTAAAGTAATTGAATCTGCCTGTGTGAACTTTAATGAAAAGGAGACAATTATTTAAAGTTCTGGATACAACTGTATAACCCACGTGGTAACATAAGTGATTTTATACCAGATTATGCAGTACGAAACAGAGTAGAGATAAATAATTCGTCTTGTCAGTTGAGTTCTAAAGTAACTGAACCAGTCTGTGTGGATTTTTGACAAGTGAATTATTTACAGCTTTAGATTCAACTTTGATAACCAATAGTGAAACGAATTTTTGTACATACGTTTGACTTGTTTTGAACAGATTATTTTAAAACAAATGGATTGTGTAATTTGTTTATTTTTGACAATTATTGCCAACAAGTCACAGACATCTACTGTAAAGAATCCAGCCCCCTTATACAAAACCTGACAATTACCTTCTTGAGTGACCTTGGTATAAAAAACAAAACACAGCCTAGTCATCTTGTAATTCTTTAATGTTTTTTAGATTAGCGAATTTTGTGTTTACTTGGCCTTATTCAACTCTGTGATGAAAAACCAATTATTTTTTTTTAAACTTTCTACTAAATACACATTCTAATACTCTCAAATTATTTTATGCTAGATAGAAAATCCTGTGAAATCATTCTTGGATCAATCCACTCAAAGATTTGTTCTTTTACATCATGTATATTGTCATGCTTTTATACTCATTTATTTTAAGTGTAATATGTTTTGTTATTTGAATTTATAACAGCTTTGTAAATTATTTGTTTTATTTATACCATTTTTATTTTAATATACTTCTTTAAGAAGCACACTTTAAATTTGATGTTTTAATTAATAATGATAATGTGCATTATAATGTTATTTATTATCCCGTTCAAGTTCACTAGTGTTTTCACTCACATCTTGGTTTTTTGATACAGATTCCAGAATCTTTTATAACTTCAAATATATTTCTAAACCAAAGGAACTTTGCATCATAAAAGAATCAAAGAAATGGTAATATATTATAGTTTTGACTCTGAGGTATGGCAATTTATTAGTTTGGTCAGTCAATAAAATTGACGTGTAGACATTTCATAACTTTGCCATATGTACTTCTTTATTTATTTAAAAAGTATTACTTTAAATATTTGAAAAATGGTATCAGAACTGGTCACTTGTAATGTGGACGATGTAAAATGAGCTTAAAATGTTTTATTTTATTTTTTTCTTTCAGGAATATTTATTTTTATAATTACTGTGATTTTTTCAACAATAAACTGAAAATTTATTGGACTTAAATTTCAAAACATTAATAGAATTCAAAATGGTTTGATGCTTTTTCAAAGTTGACAAAGCATGATTAATTATACTTGTATGGCATCAGATTTGGGCCTATTCTATTATACCTTTTAACACTACATTCTAGTCCCTTAGGGATTTTCAAGAATTAGAAGAATGTATAATAATAGTATTTCAACCACACTATGTTCAGCATATCTATTACCAACGACACATTTCACTCAATCCAGAGCTCAAAGACTGGCTTGGATACAACAAACATGTGTTTTATATCTAAAAAAGGCATTAACACCATAACAATTGTTGTTGTGAAAATGTCTTATATAGGTAGTGTTCCGATCACCACTGTATTAGGCTACAATGTTACAACTACTTCTTTTACTGACACTAAATTAATCAAATTCAAAAAACACTTTCAATAAATATCAATACTGCTAAATAATCAAGAAAAGAATACTTCAGTAGCAATCTCAGAAAAATGTTATTTCATCCCCACTCACCAAAAGAAGTAATAATTAAATAGCAGTTACATACACATGGTAGCCATAATTTTCTATTTAGACCTTTATTTTTATTATACTTTATTATGGTAATTAATGTTTTATTTTTTCTTAAACATTAATACTTTACTGGCCAAACACACATTAAAAATTACTACTTTACTGGCCAAACACACATTAAAAATTACTACTTTACTGGCCAAACACACATTAAAAATAACTACTTTACTGGCCAAACATACATTAAAAATTACTACTTTACTGACCAAACATACATTAAAAATTAC